CTTTCTCTTTTCTAAATGGGTGTCCGGTTAGAGTAGCTTCAAGCAGTGTTCCATCCAAAAGTGCTAAGGATGAGGTTCCAAAATTTGGTTGCAAAGAGGCAGGAGACGAAGAGGTGCTGTTGGGTCTCAATGTTGGATTGACACATCACACACCAATAGGGGGGGGGGAGAGAGCCATATAGGGCATTCTTCTTTGTAGTTTGTTGCCGGTGTTGATAGCTTGGTGGCTAAGTTCTCAAAGGAAGAATTTCACCTTTTTAGGATATATGTCCCTCCATATGCCTTCATACAGACATTTTGGAGAATTCGAGCAAGGCTATGTGAGGTCTTTTATGAGGGAACGAGTGGTGAAGATGCCGTTTGGTTCTAGTTTCCATGTTAAAATGTCCATATATGTGGATAGGTGAACCGAAGAAAGCTTCTGTGAGAGGGTTGCCCATTCTGTAATTTCAACATCTTTTAGATTTCTTCTCAACCTCAAATTCCAGCAATTGTTGTCCACAGACCAAAGATCCCGAACAAAAGCATCCTTTTTCATGGATAAGGCGAAGAGAAGGGGTGTGTGCTGTTCCAGGGGTTCATTGACCAACCAGGGGACCGTCCAGAATGGGGTGGAGCTACCATTGTGAATTTTGTTAGCCAGACTATCAAAAACCAATTTCTGGGTCTTGAGAATCGCTTTCCAAGGCTCTTAAATTATGTTTTTGTTGGAGTGATTCGTTATTCTTTTGAAATTTTATGGCTTAAGAAACCAGACTTTTCATTGATAATTAAAAAGTACTTAAGAAAGTGTGGAAATAAGAGTAGAGATCACAATCCACAAGGTAAGGGAGCTTACAAAAGCTGATCCAATTGGTATCAACCAAAAAATAATATAAGTTACATAAAGATGAATCTTATGAGAAATTGCTTGTAGATTCGTGTATTGTTTAAAAAATTTCAGTGTTTATTATTTATTATTATTTTTTAATAATTTCTTAGAAAGTTTCATCTGTGTTACTTTTTGAGAGATTTCTCCATCTGTTATCCATTTATTTTTAGCATGCATTGCATACACTCTTTCTCAAAGAGTTGATCTTGTTTGGTGCTTGTGAATTGTTAGTTCCCTTCCCTCTTCCTTTTCTATAATAATTTCCTTATTGGTCAGTAATTTGACCATCTCTTTTTACTTTGAAGGTGTATACTTATTCTAGTGAATCTGAGCTGGCTAAGTTCGTACCTATTTCAACTCCCAAGTTCAAATTTTACATGCACGAGGACATCCCATATACATTATATGAGAAATTAGCGGAGGAGTTGAAGATTTTGAAATTAAAGGTGTATATTTCATTTTCATAATTTCCTTTGTATTATAATAGTTGATTAATTGAACCATGATATTTGTGGTATGTGATTCAAAAAAAGTGTTGCTCTAGAATGGATGAACAAATAGGAAAGACTTCTTAGAATGTTTTTATTATTTTTGTAATTTTTTAAACTTCACTTTTCCTTAAAAGATGACTGTATCATGCTGCATTTTGGAACTTGTTAAATATAAAGTGTAACTGAATCTATATTCATCTGCTAACATATCAAGGCTTGAACTTGTCAAAATTCAGACGTATTGTTGTTTTGAGTGTTCTGTTTTATAGTTGTTTGTGATAATATTTTAGAATAATATTTACTAGTTATTCTTAGCTTCTTTTGTTTCAAAAAATTGTTTTAAAAGACAATTTTTTATCTGTGTTTTTAAAATTTATCTTAATATAATATAGTACTCCTCTATTCATATTGTAGGTTAGAATCTTCTAGATCTTTCTTGTACTGTTTTAGTTCTTGATCTCTTTGGGTTCCTCACGTCCTCTCCAATTTGGAATGTTAAGAAGTTTTCTAGGTATGCTTAGTTTTACACTTCTTTGTGGCATGGTATCTCCAATTTCTTAATTTGTACTTTTTTTATTTTGTATTTTTTATAATTGTTGGGGGCACAGTTTCTTGGGGTTGTGTTCTATTTCTCTTCCATTGCCATTCAAGTATGTTATTTAGTTGAATACTGTATTCATTTTATCACGAAAAATAAAAGAGAACTGCCTTTAGAACGTGACAAGATAACTTTTAATGTGCAGAACTATTTTCTACTAAGTGTTTTGTTTAAATAGGCCAATTTCTTATGCAATCTAACTCTCAGTTGGACTTCTGGTGTTTATGGCGTGTACTTTGAATTGCTGCAGCATGAAAACTTTATGGAGACGTCAGATCTCAATCCTTCCAAGGTAGAACCGACTAGAAAACGGATATCAAAAGCTTTCCTTGCTTTAATGTATTGCTTAGATGAACTTGGTCTTTGGTTAGCCTGGAAGGTATGTGTTTCCATTGTTTTGGTTTGATGCATAGCATTGTTGGCATCACTTGATGTGCTGCTGAACAGGCTGCTGAGTCTTTATCGTGGATGGAAGATGATTTTTCTCCATGGGAAAAGTTGGATATATTTGGTGAGGCAATTGTGAAAAATTTCTGTTTCGATGCTTTAAAGCTACTTGCTAATACTTTACAATCAGGTACTTATGCAGTATGTGATGAATTGGCATGCATATTAGATTGTTTTCTATTGTAGCTTCTTTATTATTTTTTTCTTTTTAATTAAAAGAATGTTTCCTATACCTACATGACAGGATGTTCATGTGAGTCTATTGGTGATGATCTTGAGGCTGATATGGCCGCAGGTCTAATAACTGCAAAAGTTGTTTGTCTTGTTGAATCGTTACTTGAATACAGGTATTTGTTGTTGAATACATGTATTTGTAATTTCATACATCAATGAAATTGTTTCTTACACAAAAAAAAAAAATAATTGCTTCCCTCTTCATGTTGTCTGTTGTGATGAAAAGTTATTTTATCAATTTATAAATATAATTGTTGCGACCAATTGAATGTCAATTTTCTTAAGTAATTGGAGGCATGAATATAATTTAAGATGTGAAATATATGTTAAATTTACACGTGTCTGACTGGAAAATGGATCTTTATCAGTATTGTCTATCATATTTTAATGTTTTGGAACCGATTTTGTTCAAGCTGCTGTCCATCAATTTTTCCTTAATCCTTAGTACAATCATTTTCTTTTTCTTGTTGAATAATTTAATTATTGATTTCTTGATTGATTGAGGTGACACTGTATAATAGGTCTGTTGAGGATATAAGATGCATAGTATTTGTGGAAAGGATTGTCACTGCTGTGGCCCTTCAAACTCTATTGAGCGTGTTGCTATCAAAACACACTAGTTGGAAGACCAAATATATAGCTGGGACAAACTCAGGTTTGCAAACCCAAACAAAGAAGAAACAAAATGAAATTGTGGGAGAATTTCGTCGTGGCAAGGTATGCGTTTTTTGGTCCGTTTTCCTTTCATCTGTTTAATCGTAGAGTAAAAGTATTTGAGATAACTTGAAATTTAAAAGATATGATTAAAAAAATTCTCTTAATTGTGAAATTTGACATGTTTAATTGTGAAATAACTCAGGATTTCAAAAAAAAAAAAAAGAAACTTGAAATTTGAGATAACTTGAAGCTTCTCTGAATTGGAGTGGTTTTCTTTTCTTTTCTTTGCCCAATTTTTTTTTGATAAGAAAAATGAAAAGAGATACAAAAGAAACAAAAGGACCTACAAAAAAACAGCCCTGAGAGGAGTCCCTTGCAAAAACAGACTCCAATGCAAAATAATGAGACCTAACGGATAATTACAAAAGGCCTTAGAAACAGAGCCCCGTAAAGAAGTATTAAATCTAATGAGATCCCAAACAAAGTCAACATATTTCTCCACCTCCTTAAACAGCCTATTATTTCTCTCTAACCAAATCCCCCAAATAGCAGCTAGAAAACAAGCCTGCCACAAAAAATGACTCTTGTCACGAAAAGGGGGTGTAACGACACCTCCTCCATCATTCCTCTTCAATCTTTGGAATGGACCCAAGACAAGCCAAAATAATCAAAGAAACGGAGCCAAACATCCTGAGCAAACTTACAACTCCATAACAAGTGCTCCAAATATTCCGAGGTATTCCTACAAAGATCACACCACTCCGGGCCTAGAGATATGGTTGCCAAAATAATGTAACCACTCTGGATACGATCTAAAGTATTGACTTTTATTTTTTATTAAAATAAAATTTACTCATTTATTAGATAAGAGATATGTTGCTAACATGAACATAACTTAGTGGTCAAAGGACCTTACTCCCTTTTTAAATAATGAGGAAGTCTAGTTCTACCATTCTTACTACCTTCATTCTCATTAGAATCTAACCTAGGAAGCCCTTGACACCATCTACTTCTCAATGTTACATTGCCAAAATAATGTAACCTCTAGCAGTTACATGTTGGAGAAAAACGGAAACCTGACCAGACTTTGATACTATGAAGTAAAAGTGTTTCTATTTCATATTTAATCATTCACAAAATTATAATATTTATTATTTGAACAGAAACAAAGAATGTTGTATTAAAAACACAAAAGAATACAATCTAGGGGCTGGGGTAGAGATAACCCCTCTCAAGTGACCACTAGTTTATAAAAAGTCTTCCAATTTCTCACGATAATAGATAGGCTATAATTACACAAGAAATCTTTGTGATTTGAGATCCACCAAGAAGCCAAATTTCGTATACTATGAACAAAAGAATCATCCAAAACGAGAGCCAAACTGAAACCCAAACTGATTAAATAGAAAATTCCAGCCCCTTTCGGCAAGTTGGCAATGTAAAAACAGATGATCCATGGACTTCCCCCTGTTGACAGAGACAGCAAATGTAAGGGGACAAAGTACAATTTGGGAATTTCCTCGGGAGCTTTTCTGCTGTGTTGATGCATAAGGGACCACAAAAAAATTTCCACCCTTTTAAGGATGGTGTATTTCCATCTCAGAGTAATCCAATTACACCTTAGAACTCCCATAGGTTTAGTCAAATCTAAAAAGGCTGATTTGGTGGGGAAGCTTCCACCTGCTTCCAACTTCCACCTAATCCCATCTTCACCTTCTTGCAGCTGAACCCTTTGAATAATGTCAACTAAGGCAACCCAGTTATCAAGCTCTATCGAACAGGCTCCTTTGAAGGCCCAAATCCCATGTTTGATGTTCCATTTCCTAGCAAGAGGCAACGGAGTCTTCCTTCTTCAAGGACAACGAGTAAGTGTTAGGGAATTTAGAGAACAGGGGAGAAGAATACACCCAAGCAGTTTCATAAAAGGAACCTTCTTTTCATTCCCAACCATGAGCCGAGTAAAATTGAAGAAGCAGCTACTGTATTTTGCAATATCTACCCAAGTTCTACCTCCAGCCTTGCCTTTAGGAGTTGTTAGAGTATATATTAGTATATTTTATATTCTTGTGTTAATATTAATTTGTCCTTTACCTTCTCCTTATAGGATTAGGTCAACCTTGTATATTTGTCTATATATATAGACTTTAATAATGAGAATACAGAACATTGGATTCTCTCCAACCTTAGTCTCTACATGGTATCGGAGCTCTAGGTTTCTTGCCCATTAGGGTTTTGTGCCCGTTAGGG